AATTTCCCAAAACATGAATTTTGCAATTTTCCAATAATTTGTTCGGAAGAAAAAAGTGCCTCTCAAAGGGTTAAATAAAACGTTGACGGTTAAGATAAATTTTCCTTTCCAAAAATTGTTATATCGTTGAAATTTAATTGGATGTTTCCGAGTGTCTGAAAGAAAAAAGAATATATTTCAATTAACTGGAAAATGAGTATATGTTATTTGTTTGAATAAGAAAGAAAGCAGCTAAACTGTACCGTTCAATAGGAGTGGCGATGAAACGAAGCCTGAATGAATATCAATGAATGATCATTCGAATGATTATTCGAACAATGTTACACGCTAGAAGATAGAACGTTCATGATTCTATACTCATTCTTATACACGTGTCTATGAAATGTGATTGACACAGATTTTAGCATAAAACCTAGTTAACAGTTTCTTCCTACTCTAAGTGGGAATTGAAATTTCGATATTAGTATTCTTTACTCTAGAGATAATTTTTGGAGCACTTTGTTTCTAATATCGCACACGGATGGGCCATTTTTGAAAATTATGATGATTGCATTCTTTTGGTACGTAACAGTATCGGGCGCCAATTAGTATCATTAATTGCCCAATTAACCTCTTTAATTGTTAGCCTAATAATTTCTCGGAAAATAATTTTTTAAGTTAATTAGAAAATAATCAAATCCTATGTGGGTCATAACGAGCCAATATCAATCTCTATTGTAATTATTTTTTCTATGCAATTCTTAATAAATTACCTCTATAATGTAAATAACTTTAAATTCAAATTAACTCTATTATATAATTTACTGTCATAAAGAGCGAAAGGGTAAATTAAAAGAAAATTACTCTGTTAATAAATTATACTTTCCATGTTAAAAGTAATGGTAAGAACGAATTTCTCGATCATTAAGGAAACTCAATTATCCGATCATCAACTTGCTAATTAGTTAAATCGAGGTTTCACTGTATCCTCGATGATCCGTCAAGTTGCTCGACGAAGATGCACCTGCTAAAAGTAAAAGTAGGGTTCATTTTTTTTTTTTTTTTAAATGTAAGGGAACTGTGCAGACACCGCCTTAAAATCAATAACCATTTTCAGCAGGCGCGCTCTCTCTCTGTTGACTTTTACACGGTTTTTCTCTGACCCAGAATCTCTTTGCATGTAATACTTCTAAATATGTGGGACGATGGGAATGTAGATGCATAAATAACGAGCAGTGTAACAGTTCAGGGATCACAGATAATGGAACGTTGTGACACATTTTAATTTACTGTTTCATACAGTGCTCTGATGTAACCATCTTCTCTATCCCTAATTACACCAGCGCTACTTTTAATTACAATGAAACGCAAAGAATCGTTTTTAATTCGTTGGAGTGATCTTAAATAAGGTATACAATTTTTTAGATAAAATTGCATGATTTTTACCCCGATGTTTATCGAAAAAATAATTTCAAAAGAAATTCGAAGCAATAGAATTTTATGACACCAGGTGTACTTCAAAGTACACCAAATCGGAAACTGCAAGGTATTGGAATGATTCACCTACAGGTAGATCTACCTGGCTTTTCAAAGAGGATTAGGATGCACCCCAGTTCCAGTAACTGCATGAAAAGTGGAAAAATCTTAAATTTTTCTCTATTCATGGTTCGACAATCCAGTTTTCCAGGATTTTTGCGAGGTATATAGTTAAACGAACAGTTCACCGGGAAATAACAAACAACGGGTGCAAGGAAACAGAAGAAGAGAAGGTGAGTGTACCTCTATAAATATAACGTCCGAGGTGGGCGAACGAGGGATGCAATTCCGCTGAACTAGAGCGAGCAAGCTGACGAATTTTACGAACCATCGTGGGCGTCGATGAAGAAGCTGTTAGTGACACTAAATCTACTTTATGTATTTCTGGAGGCGTGCGATATCTTATAAAATAATTTCTACATTTATAAAAAGAGAAAATAAAAAAATCAATGAAGAATATCAATCCATCTGCGTTTCCATTTTGCGAACGAAAGAAACGTTTCAAAGGACATGTCCAATTCTCTTCCAATTCCACAACCAATTTACCGGAGAAATTTTATTCGAATAAGCTCGTTATCTCGTAATTAGTCCCGGTTTCTATCGCGTAATATACGAAAGGGAAGAAAGACGGTGGATGACGAATGGTGCACCTCGATGACCCTTCTTTGATAAGAATTCCGAACGGAGCAACTAGCCGATAAAACGGCGAAAATATAAATTGCTGACCACGCGAGATACCCGGTGAATAGTTCTCTGTACGTGTTAATTAAAAAATCAATCATCGGAGAACAAAGTGTTGAAAGGAAATGTAAAATTCAATTAAGAATTTCAAGATTTTATCGTTCCTGAAAGAGGACTGTATACGCCCCTGGGGTGCAAAATGTAGATAAAGAAATGGATACAATCGAGAGGAAGAAAAGTGTGAGGAAAAGGTATTGAAAGACCGCATCTTACAATGAATAAAAGCAATACCTAGAAGAAGAAAAAGGAGAGAAACGAACAACTAAACTCCTTGCGATATAAGACTCTGTGTATTACAATACGTATTGTAGTATCCCTATTTCGACGAAAAAGAAAAGAAAAAAATACAGGTAGGTACATCGTCAGTATAGAGCAGTGTTTCCCAACGTGGGGCCTAACCCAACCGAGGGGCAATTTGATTGTTAAGGGTGGCAATTCGAAAATCGACTCATCCAAAGTTTAAGTTAACCTTATAATATAGAAAAACTAGTTAAAAATTAAGAAGAATCTTTCATTAAAATTACTTCCTACTTGAATTTCAGTTCTCCGTTATGTGTTATGAAAATTTACTTACTGTGTTTCCTCAACAATTTCCTAGCGATTTTTTCCTGAAACCTATCGTTTAAGTTTCTTCAGTGAAGAATTCAATTTTTGAATATTAAAAATGATGTACGTGTTACATAGGGGGCATAAGAATTTTAGAAACGCTTAGGTGGGGCACAAAAAAGTTGGGACACACTGACAATGAGTATAGAGTGTGATTTTACTCGAGTGTCAGAAAATATGTAGAGCAAAATTCAACACCTTGAATCTATGAGGTTCCGTAAGTATACATTGAGTTTTATAAAAGCGCCGGTCATCGGACTATTAACCGGAAATTTTTCAAAGACAAGGGTGTTAATAATGGACGAATGGGTTGCCGGTAATATCGGCGGGTACATGGACACGCGTTCGTCCAATAAAATCAATGGGACGAGAATAGTATGGTACGTGGTTGATCGAACAAGTGCGCCTACATGCTTCAGCAACGATGTGCATATTATTGTGCACATGGTGAACGGTCTAAGTGTCGTTGCACGGCTGGCAATAAAGCGAGGTCCACAACCTGCTTGTCTGTCTATCGTCTACCGGCTCTGATACACTGTTAATTGCAATAAATTTATAACTTGGCGAGCAGAGAAAAGAAGCGCAACGCCAACTGTACGTTTCTATTGTTAGCGGAGATAAGAAAGGAGATCGTTTTAGAACAATGAAATTCAAGACTGGCTTAGTGGATCATCCTTTTTCTTGGCTACCTGAACAGGGGATTTAAACTCATAGATATGGTTCTAGATAAATTTCAGTGATGTAAATATACAAGGAACACTCGAATCTTTCTTGAGGAAGATGGCGATATAGATAGAGGAGAACACTCGAATCTTTCTTAAGAAAAATGGCGATATAGATAGAGAAGAACAGTCAAATCTTTTTTAAGGAAGACGGCGATATAGATAGAGGATACTCAAATCTTTCTTAAGGAAAATGGTGATATAGATAGAGAACACTCAAATCTTTCTTAAGGAAAAATGGTGATATAGATAGAGGACACTCAAATCTTTCTTAAGGAAAATGGCGATATAGATAGAGGAGGATTTAGTACCCTTAGTTCTTAAAAATCTTGAAATTCTATTTTCTTTTGAAAATAGATACTAAATAAAATTTTTCCAAATAAGGACTTCGTTACTTTTATATTGCCATTCGAATTTAGAATATCAGAAAAATGTAGTTTTCCTAAGCTACTATATAAAATGGAGTATAATAGTCGAAGTGTTAAGAAGCAAGGCGTGAAAGAATTCGTCAGACTAGGTAATTAGAGAGGCTCCTTAAATTCCCTCGACAATTAGCACGTTCGTCAACGACGACAGACAACCCTCAGACGAAGTAAACATAGAGTGCTGTTGCGAGTTTATTAACTTGTACAAACTCATACGGTACACGTGTAGATTCGTTAGACGGAAGAAAGTGCATCGTGCGTTACACTTTTGTGGTACACTTCTGTTAGAAAATCGGTATTGCATTATTTATCATTCGTGGAATCTGTTGTCTTAATTAGTGTACTGTTGCAAACCGTATGATACGATCCATTTAAGAGATTTATCTATTGTGTTAAACAAAAACTGTTAAAAAGTCTAATGGCACAGCGTTAACGGTGTTTTAAAAAATTTTTCATTCCTCAACGTGTACATTTGCTCGCGTTGGATTTCGAAGCCAAACGCTGACGCAAAGCTGATGCTCTATTTGCCTTCGCGGAATCCTCGTACGAATTCGAAGAGCTTGGCGTTGCACAACGTGAAAATAAAAATAAAAATAAAATAAAACCACCCGCATCTCGACGAGTTACAGCCACGGGTCACCGGTTACACGCGTTAAAAAAAGAAACCGAATAAAAGTATTTGGATAAATCGACTACGATCTAGGGCAAACATGGCACCGCTCTGACCTCGTACCATCCCACGGAACCACGTTCAATAACGAATGCACGAAGGAAAGAGGCACCCGATGACGTTTTAAGGACGCCTTCGAAACTCTACCAGCCTGTTCAAAACGCAAATTCGTATAGTACATTCTTCTAACTCGATTATTAATCGAAAGAGTGTACCATCGTTAATGGTCACGCTATGAGAAAAATTAGTACTGAAAAGAATACCTTGGCTACCTCTCGATTTTTGTTTGCGCGTTGAAAAATTAAGAGGAGAAATGATTACAGCATCTGAAACATAGAAAAGAAAAATGACATTAGAAAACGTTCGTAGAAATTTAATGATGGGTATATTTGAATAAAAATTTGCATATTCCTTTTCTCGACTATTTTTGACGATCATCGAAACGAAAATTGTAATGCCTAATATAGAATTATTAATCCTTTCACTACAATTGACCTCGACGAAAAAATGTTCATGCATCACAATGATGTTCAATTCAATGATCTCGACACGAGTAGAATAATATTATTTAAAAAACAGGCTATTTAATATGCAGCAACCCAATACCATTGCATATACCTAAAAAAATTTGACAAAATAATGGGAAATAAATTGTATGAAAATTTCATAATTTCTCTTTTTAAAAATTAACAAACTATTTAAAAATGATAATACACATCTGATAACTTCTCACCAAGTTGAAGTAATTAATTATAAATCCTGTGAAGTGATACCAATGACCCCATCGTTCTTTCTTTTTCCGATAAATGTTCCATCTTTTGCAAATAAATTAAAAGAAAGATTACTTTAATCACATTGATAACACGTTTCGTGTAACAAATTGCTTGTTTATTCTAATAATCACGCCAGGCAGGGAGATTAATCCGACAAAGTTCATCGCAATAAAAAAAATAAACGATCAAGGCAAATTCTTCAGGTCAATGGAAGATAAATTTAAATTTAGGATCTACTATTTTCAATTCTGACATTGTTGACAATCACTTATGACACTTGTTTAGAACGAACCGGTAGATACACCGAATTAGAATGCACTCTGCTACCGGAGAATGTTTTCCCTCGGACCAGAAGGAAAAACCGAGGGTTGGTGATAAAAAGAAGCCGAGGTACCGGCACTTCCTTATCAGAGATAATGTTAGCGCAAGCAGAATCGACGAAGGGCCTAATTCAAAGAGGACGATAAGAAGCTTGGCTTGAGTAACCGAGAGAGATAGATAAACCGGTAACCGTGATAACACTTTTATCGAAAGACTATTCTTTATCTTTCTTGTTCGAGTACGACAGGTTCAATTATTGTCAGCCGAGATAATCGTTCGATGATTCAGAAACCATCTCTGTTAATCGTTTCTAATCAATCTTACTTCGAATCAGTGAAATACGTGTACTTATTTGGTAACAGAATCATGTAAGATATCGATCGAATCGCCATCAAAATAATAAATAATAAATAATTAACATTCCTGTTTTCCCTGCATAGCAATTTTCCTCGTGGAAACCCCGATTCGATCGGGAGTGACGTCTGTAACCGCGATTACAATCAATACGGCAGGATTTAACATATAAAGAAGACAACGTAGAAAAGCAAACTCTATCCCACGATTTTATGCAAACCTCGAAATACTAAAATAGAAGGTACACGCATGAAAACGAGCAGGTAATTGCGGATAATTGGCCCGGTGAAAATTTCACGCGATATCGTACGGAGGGAAGGTACACGCAGAGATATCGCCCATGGCTTAACGAGTTTATCATAATTAGGACAAGCCGGGATAATGCGAAATGTAGCGTCGAATTAACTGGTAAGAGCGCAAGGACGCGGGAAACCAAGCCGAATTAACATACAATGATAAAAATTGCAAACGTCCGACTTGTTAATTAGATGGGAATTTTTTTTTTTTTCCTTTCGACAAAGGTGTTTAACGCGTTCATTGTAACGAAGATATTTTCTGTAGGCTAACAAGATTCTGACAATGACAGGTTGGTTTGTTCGAAATCTTTTGAAAATTAATTTAACCCAGACTATCGGTAGAAAGGAGATGGAAAAACAGAGTCGTGGGTGGTGAACAGGGTTCTTGGAATATTGGATTACTCATCGGGGCGAAATCTGCAAACCCACCACCGTCTGATTCATCGTGTTTCTACTATCTAGATTAAACGTGTTCCCAAAGTATATATCGCGTCTAGGTTTAATTAATGTGTCTGCTATAGGGATGTGCGGGTACCCGATATTACGGATTCGGGTGGTCCCGGAAAAAATCGGATTCGGTCGGGTACAGTCGGGCAGATTCGGACGAGCCCGCGAACCGATGTTAATGCTTGCAATAAGCATGTTCAAAATATGTTTTAATTATAAAACAAATACAGTATAGCATTCGACGATCCTTGACTGAGTAAATTAGAATTAGAATTCAACTAAAAATTCAACCGTACTAAAAATACCAGCCAATTTTAATACACTTGTACGACAAAGGGTTAAATTTCAACCCCAGCTCATCGAGTTTAGAAATCGTTATTCTTGGTCTTCTATGATTCAAAATATTCCATGCCGCAACATCCACGTAACACGATCATTTATTTATAAGACGAACTTCGAAAATTCGTTGAATTTTAATCAACCGTATGCATACGTTTAATTAAACACGAGAGACACTGTTGTCCTTGCTTGACGACGTCTCCCTCGAGTTTCTTCTCCACGGGTGCAACTGATGATCGTATGCTTATAGAGGGGTGGTGCGATCTCTGTCGCTGACGTCATTACTTTCGCAGGACAAAGCTCCTAGTAGCGAGGGTGCGTTTATATATCCCGGGACACGGATGGGGCCGTTGGACGGCGCCAGGCGTCGAGACGCTTCTCAAACTCTCGCAACAAAACGTTCGTCAGCCCTCCTTTCCTTTTTCTCCTTTTTCGATTCTGCTTCCCCTTTTTAAGCTACCTATCCTATTTCCACCATTATTTTCTGAAGATCCTCCCATGTTTCTTCTTTTTCAATTCCGTTCCTCTTTGTTTCGAATATTAATTTTGATTAATTAATATTATAATAAAATTTGGGAGCCTGGGACATCGCAATTTTTCCTTGGAAAATCTATTTTAATCGCGAATGTACGTGGATGTATGTGTACCTAAGCCTTTCACAATCAAAGGGTTATTATTCATTGGTATTCAACCACCATCTGCGAGATACTTTTTCAATAAGGATAGAAATTCATCGAGAAAATCCGAAAACATTCGATCGACGAAGGAGGGTGCGTTTTTTATCCTAGCAACACAGGGGGAAGCGAAATGGCGATGCCGAGCGTCGAGACGCTTTTCAGACTGTTGTAATAAAACGTCCAACAACCCCTATCTAATACTACCGTTCCCTAGAATCTCTGTATTTACATGAAAACACCATTTAATGCAGAATTATGGTGTAAGCTACGGTGATTGAGATTTTAAATCTATTTATTATATATTTATAAAAATTAATTATTTAATTCAACACCTTCGCTACCAGATTTTCTATCTAAAATTCAAAAAGATTGCTAAGATTTGGAATAATCTTTTTCTTCTCTTACGAACCGTTTCTGATTAAAAGAGCAATTACAGAGCTGCTTAATTAACTCTCAATTAATTTAATTAGGAATCATAGCTGAAAACCGGTCATTAGAGGGATGTTGAATATAATTGAATATAGTTTGTATAATAATTACATTCAGATTGTTTGATACATTATTTAAATTCGTTATTATTTTTCACTCGTTTTGAAAAAAATAAGAATTCGCGTTGATGCATTTGTATAAAGAAGAAGGTTCTTCCGAAGAAATTTCAAATTTTTCCTGAAACACTTTGTTCTAATTGCGAAGCGGAAAAAAGTTACAACGTTTACCGGTCGAGGATCGTTTGAAACGTGATTTTCCTCGACGGAAAAGGAATTTCCCGCGAGTTTTTCCGCGAGTCGCACGACTTTTTCAGAGACTTTCTCTTCGCACTTCTTGGTGCCCTCTTCTCCTCGTTTCTCCGTCCTCGTTAAACGCATACGCATCGCGAGAGGAAAAGAAGAGGAGAGCAAGGCCTCTCCCGCGTCCGTTGCACCGACTTTTCAGGGTTTGTTGCTCCGTTAATTAGATCGTCCGCAACGAGACCGTCGCAGTGGAGGTGGCAAACGAAGAACTGGCCTTAACGATCTTATACTTGATAGAAATTTCAATTTCCTTCAATAAGTCGATGAATCTCTAAAACTTAAAATCCCATCTAATCCAGAAACGATTAGCTCGATGTCTAATTACTAGATCCTTGCGAATCGAATCGTTCATTTTGATAAGATTTGAATAACAGAAACTTACATTTTCCTAAATGAAATATATCTGTTTAGAATAATAAAGATGTTGATATTGTGAAAAGCGTAGAAGATAAGCATTTGGAAAATTGCCACGATACGGTGTATTTACTCGAAAATTCTGGTGTTTGTTTAATAGCGTAGAGAAATATGTGTGCCACGAAAGGAGATGTCTGTCGTGAGTTCAATATTTCTCTAACTATGTTATACTTGAGAATACTGTTTACCGAAATTAAGTAAATAACTTTTCAAACAAGGCTGGCCCTGGGCCTAGACAGACTAGGCGACAGTCCAAGTTTCAGGGCCCCCATAAGACGATTTTGCGTCTAAGAATGCAAGAAGAGTGTTTACTTGAATATTTAATCAATGTAAATGCAAATCTAAATTAGTTATACAAGCTTTAATGTTAATTTCATAAATTTTATTTCAGATACTTTTTATATACGAAGGGGCCCTTTTTCGGAGCTCGCCTTGCACCCCCGAAATCTCAGGGCCGGCCCTGGGCCTAGGCCTAGGTCGATTTTGCGTCTATAATGTTTACTTGAATATTAATCGATACAAATGCAAATCTAAATGAGTTATACAAAATTTTATAAATTTTATTTGAGGTACTTTTTTTTATGTGAAGGGACTCGCCTCGGACCCCCGAAATCTCAGGGCCGAGCCTATTTTCAAAACCAATTACCATTTATCTTGAATTATTGAGAAATCTCATTTTTCCACGCGATATCGATTCATAATTCCACGTTTGATAACGACTTTGTTGTGACACAGGCGATTCTGAAGTCAATAGATAACTCGTGTACATAATCAATGAAAAACAAATATTTCAAGTAGCGTTATCTATCGTACGTCGCAATTCCTTCTAAATCTAAAATCTCTCTATCAACGAAATAATTCAGGTCCGATCGATAGTGGCTAGGGTTCGATTTTAACGAGGTGATGGTATCGAA